CAGAAAAATTATTGATGTCTTCGAGCTGTGGTGCTGGAGAAGAGTACTGAACATACCATGGACTGCCAGGAGAACTAACAGGCCTGTCTTGGAGAGAGTAAAACTAAGTTTCTCCCTGTAGGCAAGGAGTTTGAATCTTTGTCTCACAAACTTTGAGCATGTGACTAAGAGGGACCAGTCTTTGAAGAACATCATGCTTGGAAGGGCTCACATATTTTACCAGCATTTCCACCACATAAAGTAAAGGTATATTGCAGAAGAGGAAGATCTCAGATGAGATGGATTGACACAGTAACTGAGATAATGGGGTTAGGTGTGTCAGAGTCAATGAGATTGGCTCAGGATAGGGCAAGCTTCAGAGGTATTGTACATAGCATCAATATGAGTCATGGCATATAACAACAACAACTAGACCCTCTAGGGGACAACCAGGACTTGTTATACAGACATGAAAGAGTATAAAAAGAAGAACAATCACTGCATCACAGTTTGAAATAACAATGAGCTGGAAACATCCCAAGCATAAATTAAAAGTGCATTTGTGAAGGAGGATGGGTAAAGGAAATGAGAATGATCTGGTGGGAATCTGGAAAGACAGGGCAATGGTGGGCATAATTCAATGTTAATTAATTTTATAAAATATGGGAATGATTGTATGAAACACAATACGAATAAAAGTGTCAAACACAATGCATGCAAACTTTTTTTAGCAAACCCATATAAAATAAAAATTGCTTTTTTAGAAGTAAAAGTGTTAAATAAATTTTGTAACAAGCATACAATAGAATATCAATTCTTTTTAAAACAGTGAAAAAATGTGGACATTTTCTATGTCAAGAGATGTACGAAGTGGAAATATGAGCAGACAGAACAGTGTGCAGGGTATACCACATTCTGTGTAAAAGAGAAGATATGGGATTACTTTTGTTCCTTATTTCTTACTATTTTAGTTAAACTCTTGGAAAGTGAAATAAAAGCAATGTGGATACCTAAGAGATAGAAGAGCTGCAATGAAGGTTTTCCCTTATTTTTGTGAAGTCATCATATTCAATATTGTCTAGTCAAAGCATTTGATTAAATGTGAGTTCTGGTCTTAATTTTTCCCTTTTTTAAGTAGGCCAACTGTCAAAATCATTATTGTCGAGTTGGAAACTATTCCTAGCTGACTCCTCAGTGGATTTTCAGAGGCTGTAAATCACGCAGAGTTGCAGGTGGATTCAAACTTCCAGAGGGGTGTGGCCTGCTAGGTAACAGTGCAGCTCTCTACAGAGTACACCATCCTGGTGGTGCAGTGCATTACATGTCAGGCTACTCGCTGAAAGGTCAGCTGTTTGCCCCCTCCAGATCCTCCAGGGGAAGAACATACTCAGTCTCCTTCCATGAAGATAGAAAGGCTCAGAAACCCAATGAAGAGTTACTATGAGTGAGAATCAACTCAACAGCAGTTGGTAACTCACGGACATCATGGTTGATCGAGGATCAGGAGAGAGGGAGGAAAGAAAAGGTGCCCCTTCAGTGAGAAGGACTGACACAGTGGCCACAATGAGCCCAAATTGTGAGGATGGTGCAAATCAGACAGTATTTCATTCAATTGCCCATGGAAATCACTATGAGCTGAATAAACTGGACAGCACCTAACAACAACAACAAAGGCTGGCAAGCTGAACCTGGCTCATATATATTACAGGCATTTTCACCACGGAAATTCAACAAGTTTACATTGGATGAAATATTAAGTACTGTCCCATGCACAATCTTTAAGTTTCAAAGAGAAAAGACATTTTTATGACAGAGACCTCCACTCCTTGATCCAGTGATGAATCTAACCTCACCAATAATGAGACAAACTAACTCAGTGGGTCCTGAGATTATGTATTGGCAGAGACCTTTGCCAAAATGTATAACCTCCAACCTGAGCCAACAATTGTTGTTAAGTACCCATTTGTTGCACATTTTCTCCTCCCTCCCCTCCCCGCCTCCAGCCCTCCCAGTAATGCACACTTGTTCCAGATTGTTCTCATCAATATACTGCATTATCACACATTCCTTGCAACCAGTTCTTCCCCTCATCTATTCTAATAGTGTTTTTTATCTATCTACTCTTTCCGCATTCCCTCACCAACCCTCCCAGGTCTCTATTTTATAACAGCAGTGTTATACAGTATTTGTCCTTTTGTGACAGATACTTTATTTAGCATAATGTTCTCAAGACTCACCTATGTTGTGTAATGTTTTACTCTTTCACTGTTTTTTCAATGCTGCATAATACTCCATTATGTGGATGTGCCATAGTTTTTCTATCCATTTGTTTACTGATGGGCACTTGGGTTGCTTCTATCTCTTTGCTATTATAAATAATGCAGCAGTAAACATGGATGTGCATATATCTGTTTGAGTTGCAACTCTGATTTCTTTGGGGTATATTCCCAGTAATGGAATTTCTGGGTCAAATTGGTGTTCCCATTTCCAACTTTTTGAGAAAGTGTCAGACTGTCTTCCATAGTTGTTATACCATTTTACATTTCCACACGCAATGAATAAGAGTTCCAATCTATCCATAATCTCATCAGCATTTGTTGTTTGCTGTCCTGTTGAACTTTGCTCTTGTTCTTGGGGCCACTGAGCTACTTTTGACTACGAGAAACGTTATAGAATGGAGAAGTGCTGTCTCCATAGCATTTCCTAACTTGTAAATCTTTACGGGATTGACAGGCATTTTCTCCCATTGAATCACTGGCTAGGATCAAACTTCTAACCTTTGAATTAGCAGTCAAATGCTTAACCACTATGCCACCAGCACTCCCTGAGGAAACAATTAGGAAATTACAAATTGTGGGTATTCTTCAGGAAAACTAGCCTGGGTCCTTCAAAAATACCAGTGTTATGAAAGTTTCTTTAAAAGTGTAAGGAAGGCTGGGTCAGATTTTTTAAAAAACTAAAGAGATATGGCAGTCAGTGCAGGATGTGACCCATGAAAGAAACTCCAAAAGAAATTTTTAGGAAAGCTGGCAAAATTCAGATTGAATTGTATATGATATTATTATGCACTGTTCAGTTACCCATGATTGAAAAAGATACTGTTTCATTCTTCTTAGGAGATAAAGATTGAAATATTTAAAGATGAAGAATAATTATAACTCAATCATACTTTTAAATTATTGGCAAAAGGTACATAATAAAGTAATAAAGCAAACATTGCAAAATATTAAAAGTTAATACCTGAAGGAAAGGCATTAGGCATGCCCAGAGGGTTGTACAATGGTTAAGTATTGTACTTTTCATCAAAAAATTGGTAGGTCAAACACACCCAGAGGAACTTCAGAAGTAAGGCTTGGCAGCCTGCTTTCTTAAGGTCATGGCCTTGAAAACCCTATGAAGTTCTACTCTGCACATGCAAGTTTTCATGAGTCAGAAATGACTTAACAACTAACAATTAAATGGGTATGAATTATACTTTCAATTTTTCTTATATTTTAAAGAGCTCTAGTGGTTTTGATGCCTTTGAGCTGTGGTGATGAAGAAGAGTACTGAATATACCATGGACTGCTAGCAGAATAAACAGGTTCATCCTAGAGAGGGTGAGACCAGACTGCTCCTTGGAGGCAAGGATTCTGAAGCTTCGTCTGACATACTTTGGACATGTTGCAAGGAGGGGCCAGTCCTTGAAGAGGGACATCATGCTTGGGAAGGTGGAGGGACAGCACAAGAGAGGAAGATTATCAATTGAGATTGACTCAGTGACTGGGGTAGGTGTGTCAGAGACAAGATTGGCACAGGATAGAGAAGGGTTTAGGGCTGTTGTATGTAGGGTCGCTACGGGTCACAGGTGACTCAATGGCACATAACAACTAGAGTCATTGCCTATATCGAGTTGCACTACTAATCCAAGGACCACACCTCTCTGGTTATTCGAATCTACCAGCAGCTCCATGGCAGAAAGACCAGCAATCTCCTCCTGTGCAAACCCAGAGGAGGGTCAGTTATGACTTGTTCTGACTCAATGATGTATTGGAGAGAATTACAATTAATAATAAAAAAAAGACATTCTGCGGGTTTGCTAAGGAATCTTTTGTTGGCTGAAAATAGTAATGACAGTAACAAAATATGTGCTAGTAGGTGCAGAGGTCACATAAAATACTATCATGACATCAGCAGGAAGGTCCATGTTTTATAGCATTCAGAGGAGAGAGTTCCTGTCTGTAAAGGATACAATCTAAAAGCCAATTCTCCCCATCACTGCTAGTGCAGAACACTAGATAAAGAATTTAGTGTTTCAGTCCAAGGCCTTCATCATGTACCAATCAGGGCACGCTATGCTGTATTTGTCCTAACAAAACAATTTTCTGGTCCAAAAGCTTTCATTGACTTGCATGTATTTTTCTGGGGCAACAAGAGCTTCCTTAACTTTTTAGTGATTTGAGTAGAAAAAAAATAATCAACCTGCTTGGTATCAGGGGTGGAGAAGGCCAAGGATGTAAGTATGGCAGGATTAAAAAGAGCAGAATTTCGTACCAAGAGCCAGGAAAGTGATACCTTCTTAATAAAACTTTTCCCTGGGAACACCTTTGTCCTAAAAAGGGTAGATAAGATCAGGCCACTCTGGTTACAGCTGAAATGATACTTTCTCCTTTACACAACACTAGCTTCAGTGATAATTTGCTGCTATGATGGAGAGCTCAAAGTCCTTTTTAGAGCAGAAAACTTTCATTATTAATGGTATAGGGAGCTCTGGTGGCCTAATGGGTAAGAAATTGCACTGCCAACTCAAAGGCACACAGTTCAAATCCACCAGCTGTTCCACAAGAGAGAGAGAGGTGTTCTCTTCCCATGTAATTTACTACCCCCGAAAACTCACTGGAGGGTCAGCTATGAGTTAGTACCAAATCAACAGCACAAACCACCAACAGCAACACTAACAGAATGCTATTGCTGCCAAAGTTTTGTTGTTTCTTCTGGTGGCATCATTTTGAGAAGGGAAGCAACATCGATCATTCTCTTACCCACTGCTGCCGCCGTCTTTGATGTAGGAAGGCTAGTGCAATCCCCAATCCCAAACACGTTAGGATAGCGCTTGTGCTGCAGAGTTTCTTTATCCACATCCACCCAGCCAGCAGCATCGGCCACAGGACTCGTCTTGATGACATCTGGTGGGCCCATGGGGGGTGTGACATGGAGCATTTCATACTACACAAAAATAGCACAGTCAGATTTGTGAAGTTTAGGTATTTCTCCAGCCCCACATGTTCAGCCTCATTTTCTTAGTCTATATTACGTATTATGACTGCATAGATTGCAAGGAGCATTACAGAGATCAGTGTTTATGCTAATCTGTGCTTTCTCCATGACCTTACACACGCTTAGAAAGTCTGATGATTAAGTAACAATTCTCTTGGCTGGCATGAGCTCCTCATTCAGAGTTCAAAAGACTCCTTTGGAGGCGGTGGGGTGCAGGGGAGCAGATTCATCATAGGGTTGTACAATTTAATGGGTGCATGAGAGAAATTGGAAGAATCTGATCTGAAAAAACAATGTTTTAATTTTATGAATAAACTAGTATATTAATAATAAAAGACTTTCAGCAGCAGACAGTGGGGTTCCAAGACACCAGAGTAGACCTCACTAACATTCTTAAAGAATCTATTGATGTTTCTATGATGACTAAAATTAAAATTAAAATATAGTATATTGTGGCTGTTCTCTGTCTAACCCTCAGATGTTGACTTATAAAGCCTAGTACATTAGGGATGGAGGGAAGATTATCAGGGTTTCTTAAAACCTGTAGAAGCCACATTAGGAGCTGGTAAGAAAGACTATTCCTAAATAGGGGTGATCCAGATAACACATAAAGGAAACAGTCAAACACCAATCTAAAATGAAATAGGATATTTAAGAATATTAATACTTTGGGGGAGAAAGAAACCTGGTGAATTTTAAAACAAACTTTTATTAAGTTAATAAGTTTTAGGCCTCTGATAATATTTTTTATTGATTCTTTCCTATTCAAGGTCCTGGCCAACTGACTGAAAGAGATCTATATTTGTTCCCATCCCAAAGAAGGGTGAACCAACAGAGTGTGGAAACTATAGAATATCATTAAATTCACATGCAAGCAAGATTCTACTGAAGATTATCCAAAAATGACTGAAACAACACATCAGCAGAGAACTGCCAGAAGTCCAGGCTGGGTTTAGAAGGGGTCGTGGTACTAGGCATATTGTAGCTAATGTTAGATGGATCTAGCTGAAAGCAGGGAATACCAGAGGAATGTCTATCTGTGTTCCATTACTATGCAAAGGCATTTGACTCTGTGGATCATAACAAACTGTGGCTGACTCTGAGAAGAATGGGAATACCAGAACACTTGATCATGGTAATGAGAAACCTATACTTGGACCAAGAAGCAGTCATCAGAACAGAGCAAGGGAACATTGCATGGTTCAAAATTGGGAAGGTCATATGCCAGGGATGTGTCCTGTCTCCATACCTTTTCAACCTGTATGCAGAACAGATTATCCAGGAGGCTGGGCTCTATGAGGAGAAATGTGGGGTCAA